TTAAATAATTAATATGTCAAACCTCTTATTTACATCATATACAATAATTTTTTTACATTTAAAACTCTTTATAATTTTCACTTTTAGTTAATACTTTTTATAATTTGAAATTTACAAAAAAAATTTAAATTACAAAATAAAATTAAGATGCAAATAAGAAGTTTAATCATTAATTTTTAAGTTTTTTTATAAATTTTAAATTATAAAGAGTGTTAATCAAAAATAATTTTTTTAAATATATTAATTATAAAAACATTAATATGTGAAGTGTAAATAAAAAAAAATTAATCTAATTAATATTATATAATTTAAAACAATTTAAATTACAATAATTTTTCATTGTAATATTGTATTAACTTTACTTAGCAATCACATCTTTTCTTTTCTTTTTTTTTTCTTTTTTTTTTCTTTTTTTTTTCTTTTTTTTTTTTAAAAGATATTATGATAACGGTAAATGAGTGTAGGGAGGGCAGACAGGCCATGTGGAGTAATCTTTTGGTATTTTGTTTCTTGCAAAGCAAAGCTATGAATCAAAAGCAGCGATGACTAATTTGACTAGATCTCGCCGAAAGCAACACAAAATACTGCCCAATTTAATACCATCTTTGACAAAAGGGATGTATGAGCAGCTAACTGAGATGACCTAATAAAATATTCTGATTTTGTTTTCTACACTATCTGCAATGATTGGACACTCATTTTTGCATCCCATATACACGCCACTATGCAAGTTCTTCCCATGCTGATGTTTATCATACTTGTTCTTACCAAGAGAGAAGGTTGTTTTTGTAAAACTTGAACTGACTTTACTATTAGAGTGTATTGCCTGAAACTCACTTAGGGGACATTAGTAAGATTTCAGAACAATTCCAACACAAATCCTCAGCTTGTCCCTTAATTAAAGGACCAAAGCCTACTTGTCAATGAATTATGAAAGATGAAATGGCAGTATTAGTTGGAGTTGCATTCACCCTGTGCTTGCCTGTCCACAACTTCTGGGACATGTCATGTTGAATTTCTGGTTTGAAGATAAGGAAGAAAATTCATCTTTGTCACACTCACAATATATATAGTTCAGGAGGACTCAAAGAATATATATCATTAGATTAGATGATAAACATTGAGAAGACAAATTCTATACTGTTGATGAGGAAAATTTTTGATTGTAGCATTTCAATGGAATTAAAAATCAAATAAGATCCTTAGTAGGTGTGATCTTGGGGAAAAGGTGTAGAATCCATCAAATTACAATTGACTTTCAGGATGTTTCTTACCTTTCTAGAAAGTAAATGCACTAGCTTTTAATTGTAAGTGCAGAAGAAGATATGCCACGCTTGCTGTCGACACCTTTTCGCATTGAAAGCATATTTCAGAACATGTGGTATGTCATATTAACTCCAAAACCCAAAAAAAGAAAGAAAGAAAAAATTTCAATGGTTTTCCTCATTCAAGGGAAGAAAATCGCTAACAAAGGTTTTCTTCAGGAGTAGAAGTCGTATGTCAACCAAATTCAGCAACTATATTACATTTATTTGGCAGACACTGTAAAACAACAAAAACCAACAAGGTTCAGCATCAATGATTTAAAAAAATAAATAAACTTCATGGTACAATTGTCATTTCTATTCAGAAGTATACTTCCCTGTGACAAATAGATGTTCCCCTAATCAGCATCAATGAAAATTGAGATTGATGAAGCCCTACTTAAATCCATAAAATATGTCATTAGTCTATCTCTCTTTAGGAAAGGCAAACTTTTAGCTCAGATAGAAGTGATTGTCGTGTGCCAACCAAACTGCAGAAAGATGCATGCCTTGTTTCCCACAAAATGAAGCACAATTACCCAGCAAAATAATCCTGGCAAGCCAACTAAGAATGAAGAGTGTTTGTGAATTGAAGTATGCAACGCATTGTTTCCAAAACCCAAAAAAAAAAAAAAAGAAAAAAAGAAAAAAAAAGGTGAACAAATAGAACAGGAACTTCTACGTGGAATACTTTCATGTTTCTATAAACATTGTGCAAGCATTAGAAACACCATGCCCAAATTCCCTATAAACTGTTAAGAGTTTGGGCGAATGCAGCCTCCGCAACCAATTCTTTCAGGATGGCTGATGGGCTCTCCCCAAAAAACTCGAAAGGCATCAACTTCTTGAAAGAATTCTCTCTCCTTCTTAAAGCTTGGAGGGTCTGCAACCTTCCCCGTAAAAGTAAAAAGATACATTTATAGCATTTATAGAAGTCAATATAGCTATCTAATACCAGGGAGGACCTTAAACAACAATATTGACAATCACATGTCATGGAGTAATAAGCATATAACTCAAGGTAAGGAACACAAATGCTATATGGAATCAAGGTTAAGGGCAGACTATTTATAAAGAACTGAGTAACAGAGAATACTTTATGAAGTGGTGGTTTTCCCTTTCCTTTTGCCAACTTTTTTTGAGCCTGATTCTTCACACCATAAACTAGTCAAGCAGGAGAAAATTTCAATGGCATTAGCAGATCAAAGCTATCATCAACCCTTATTGGCAACCACGGGAAACATTCCTTGAAGTAAACAGTGAAAGAACATAATTTGATCGCACTTGAAAGAAAAGTCGTCAATTTTACATGAATATCTGCCGATCATAAGCACTTGTACTCAGATGCTAACAAAGAAAGTGAACACTTTTAAAGCAACCCATTGAAATTTGAAGTGTAACATTTACTCTAAGAATATTGAAATTTGATAATAAACCCGGAAGTATGTAGTAAAATTACCTGGAAGGAGCACGTAAACCTACTTGATGACACCTGCTAAACTCACCCGATTCAGGTCACTAAGATCCACCTGCATCCTGGCAACAAAACCAGGAACATAGAAAACAAAAGCAAATGTTTTAAAACCAAAACCCCAGAAAAAGAGGGGAACAAAATGAAGAACCCTTAAGTTTTAGACATACAAGACTGCATCTTGGTGGGTTGTTTTGAGGTTTTCTCCTCTGATTGATGACTTTGATTCTGGGTTTTGTGTGCCCCCTCTTGTTCCTCGGAAGCTATGATTTTCGACCAAAGATCAACCCCTATACAATGTATTGATTCACAAGTACACAATCATGTTCGAAGGGGAAAAAACTGTTTGATAATTAATAGTAAAAAGAAAAAGATAGCCCCTTTACCTGCTTTGGTTTCCATGAATGCAGTTCTTGGAATGCTCAGATTGCAGAGGAGGGAGAGGATGATTGAAGTTTGAAAACGGAGGCGGATGCGGGAGCCATGACCGCGACTCCATGATCGAGCTGAGCTGTGAAGGGAGAGGGGAAGTCCAATTCGTTAAGCCCAAAACCCAGGAAGGAACAAAGAGCCCATCTCTCAAGACTCAAACCCAATTTCACATGAAACTATAAATCCAAACCGAATACTAAAAAATACATTCTGAATGAACGATAAAACATAAGGTTGATGTTTTATCATAAATCACGAGGAGGATATACATAACATGTGTTAACATTGTTCATCAAAAAAAAAAAATGTTAACATTGAGAAAAATAGGTTATATCCCCGATTCAGTCCCTGAACTTTCATTTTTGGA